ACCACATCATGCATCATTGGTGATCATATCATTAATCGGGCACTTCTTGACTTAGGAGTTAGTGTTAACTTTCTTCTATACTCGATTTCTGTCAAATTAGGCTTAGGAGAATTGAAACCGACGTCAGTAGTTTTGCAACTTGCCGACCGATCTATCAAGAAGCCTAGGGGTATCATCGAGGATGTTTTGATAAAGATTGATAAATTCTTCTTCCTCGTTCATTTCGTTGTCATAGACATGGAACCGGTCCCCAATCCCAAGAGCCAAATTCCCGTTATCCTTGGCCGTCCTTTCTAGGCAACTGCGAATGCCAACATAAATTGTAGGACGGGGATAATGAAGATCTCATTTGGCCACATGAAGGTGAAGTTGAATATCTTTAATCCAACCCCCAATTCGTTTGACAAGTATAAAGGAGAAGTGAATGTTATGGAAAAATGTCTTGACCAACAATGTGAATGAAGTAAGCTTTTGTGAAAGACTAAGATTTCAAAAGGATCATCTTCAACCCTGCATTCTAAAAGTGTTGTTTCAAATTCTTACTTTGAAAGGGCATGGAAGCCTAAAGATTGCATTGACAAAGGACCAAAAGCTTCTTTTGAGCTTAATCCAACAAGTTCTTCAAAGAACCGTTTGTTGGGTGAAGTTCAAAGCATCCATCACCCCGTCAAGGAGGGGATGCATCGCAAGATTTTTGATCCGGGCTAAAAGAGTCCAACGTCTTGCTAGAGATGTTAAAGACTAGCAAAAACATTTCATAGGGTGTCAAAACCCTATTTCTCCCTCATTTCTTTCTTCAATTTCATTTCTTGCGAAGTCTAGATACTTGTTTTTGGTACATATACATTACTAGGAACTGTGGTTAGGATTGTATGAGCATTCATGTTGAAATTGAGCATTTTGCATAAGTTCTATCGATCTCAAAATGAGGTTCGATCGATCGAACTTCATTCTATAGCAAACCTGCATCCAAATCACCTCTCTGTCTCATTGATCCAAGGAAATTTTCAGATTTCAGTTCTTTGTCAAGTTCAATCGATATTGAGTTTCAACACTTAGAAAAAATTTTGAGCCTGCATCAACCTGCATATTTCAGCTCTCTGTCCCATCGATCGAACATATTCCAAGATCGATCTGAAGTTCTTCGATTGATCCAACTTCATCATTGGATCGATCTTGAGTTCCAACACTTAGCCCAAATTTCTGAACCCAAAAACCTGCATACTTTTGGCTCTCTGTCAGATCGATCGAACATTTGTTCTGGTCGATCTTAGTTCAGGAAATTATTGGTTTGACTTTGTTTTGACTTTTCAAATCTTAAATTTCAAAAGTATTTTATTTTATTTTGTTTTTCAAAAAATTCCAAACAGATTTAATTTTTCTTTCAATTTATTTTTCAAAAATTCAAAAATATTTTCAATTTTTAGTTTTAATTTTTAATTATAAAAAAAAAATTCAAAAATTCAAAGGAGAGATCGATTCAAGTTCGATCAATCAGAAATCTCAGTTCGATCGATCAAACTGCTTCGGGGAAGTTTTTAAAAATTGGGACCTAGGGTTTCAAGATCAATTTCTAGATCGATCTAACCCTCTCCAAACCCTTATCCCTCATCTTCGCCGCTGAACCCCAATTATCTTCCCCATCTCCGGCGAACCTCCGGCGACACCCTCATCCCTCATCACTCTCTCTCCTTATAGATCTATGTTCGCATCTCACCCTTCGCATCTCCACTTCTCTTTTCGAATTGGGTAAGATCCGAATCCCATCTTGTGATTTTGAGCTTTCATATGATGTAATTATACTTAAAATGTTAGATCCATGCCGTGTTAATGCTAAATACCTCTATTGTTGAAGCTTGAAGCATTATGTATACATGTGTATATATATGTATATATGTTTATATATATATATTGAGATTTGTTTTGATTTGTGGGAGTATGGGCTTCGTACGATGATTAGGATTGATGCCATGTTGTGTTGATGGGCCCACGACATTGTTCGTGAAGGCCCCGTGCCATCCACGTCACAAATCTGTGCCTGTCTATGTTCTTTACAATTCGATTGATCGAACTTGTTTTTCAGATCGATCTGTGATAGATCGATCTCACCCTACTTCTAATATCGATCGAACTTGAGGTCGACCTCACTCATTTTTTCAGATCGATCGAACCTCACAGATTTCATACACATACTCCATGCATCTTATCTTGTGTTCATGTTATTTCATTTATGCCCAATGCGTGTGATATTCCACATTGGATGCATCTCATACTTATACTATTTAGCCTGCTTCACATCCTGTCACTTGTATAGATTCATGTCATATTTGCTTTGTCTGTCTTACTTGACATACATGTTTCCATTTTGTGTTTCTATCAATAATTATATATATATATATATATACACACATATCCATCTATACAACTCACAAATTAATTAAGCCAGATATACACATATATAATAAAAAAAATATGTACATATGTATACCTCCTTCCATCACCAATATATTAATTTAATTATATTTATACAAATTAAATGCTACTAAATATCATCACAAATGGTTTCCTATAAATACTCCATCTCGGTTTAAATAATTTTCCGACACCGTCTTATTAAAACATAAACATCTCCTAGTAAGATGGGAATCTGATAATGAAATTGGTACCATTGGAAAGAGGATTAAAAATCCTTAAAGTTGAGCTCAAGAATGACCTAATTTTGATTTAAGATGACTAAGTTATGACCGTTTCAATTTTAAGTGTCGAAACAAGCCAACAAGGATTTCCCACACGTGCCCACGCGCTGGATCCAAGCTCTGTGTGTGCTGGCGCATTCTGATTGGCTGGAGTCTTTTAGCTCCTGTGAGCTCACCCACACTAGATTATAGCATTGAGTTCACATGAATGCACCCACACTAGATTAGCTCACTTGAGCTCACATGTATGCACCCACACCTAATTATCTCACCTGAGTCACATGTATACACCCACACCAGATTATCTCACATGAGGTCATATGTATACATCCAAACTAGATCAACTACCCATTAATCAAGATCCATCAGAGGCCTAGATTCCATGTGCACCATGATAGCATGCGCCGCGTCACACCGGATCGTTTTCAATCATCATCTATTAATGACCCCTTGTCTATTGCGCTGATATTTAGGAAGCCTTCAGTAAATCAGTTGCGAACTACTTTTCTAGAATGTCCAATATCTCTTTTACATCTTCTATGCGAAAATCTTTAATTTTCATAAGATCTTCTCAACTGTTATTTAAAAAGTCCAATAATGTATATATATTGGACCTTTTGAGGCAATTATAGATTCTGGGAGATAATTCTGATTGGTCAATAAAAATATATTTGAATGCTATATATAAATTGTATATATGTATGTATAAATTTTCAAACAAATAATAGGAAAATAAATATAATAAATTCCAGAAAAATACCAGAAATTCTGGAAACCCTAAATAACCTTATTGGGTCATAGATCAACCTATAAATTGGTTTTAATATATATATAAATATATATATATATATATATATATATAACATCTATATATACAATTAACATCCCATAATCCAAAATTAAAAATATATAATAATTCATACTTTTAAATAATCCGATCTAAACATGATTTAATCAAATAAATTTAACCTAAAGCTTTTGATACTCAAGGTGAAATCCTTATGAGTTTTAAGAGGAAAGTTAGAGAAAACTCGCCTGAAGGTTTCGAAATGAAACCGACGCTTCAATTTTAATTGTCTCTTCCAATTCCAACATCCTCTTTCTCCGATCCGGCCTCCTTTTTGTTAGCCTTCTTTTCTTTTTCTCTCTCTGTCTCTCTTTGTTTGTGTCTTGTTGCTCCTTTACATCAACAAATACTGCTCCGATTGTGGAAACCGTGTCTCTAAGTTTTTCAAGTTCATCCTTCATGCCCCACACAAGTCCCATCTCTCGAAGAAGGGCGGAACCCAACTTCTTCACAATTTCAGTTAGAAGCACTTCTGCCATTTCTTTTGAAGAGAATGCTCAACGGTTTCTTTGTGCAGCAAGTGAAAGTCAAAAGGATTGAGAAAATTGAAAGCCAAAAGAAGCAATAACTAATTCCCCGTTCATACATATAAGTAATAGTGAAAGTTGTTGACATAAACACATGAAAATTAATTGAAAGCTAAATAGAAGAAGAAATAATTAATTCGTCACGGGCTTGTTTACTAATAGGACTGATTCCTGATTTTTACTGTCAATTCCTAAAATTGAGAATCAAAATTAAAAATTATATTTAATAAAATACTTTCACTTTTATGTTTTAAGAAAGTACTTTTTAATTTTGTGAAGAGAAGAGAAAGTGAGAAATCCTCACTTTCTTGTTTTCTCCACTGTAGCGAAGGAATTACTTCCGCTACTGTAGCGAAACTTAAACAATGCTTTGCTCTCAGTCGTTTATACCCACTATTGTCTCTCTCCCATGTGCCACCACGATAGCCACCAGATGGGCAACTCCGACAAAGATGATTCACCGATCGGCATCGCTAGCGACAACCATATCGGCGATTATGGGACTTAGGTAAGTTATACTTTCCTTAAATTTGAAATTTTTTCTATCTCATCCTCAAGACAAAATCCCTTCTTCCTCTCTTTGCTTTCTTAGCATTGAACCCTTAGCACAAAATCAAAGAGTCGCCTTCTCGATCTGTGGATATGTTTACTGTGCGTTGTTGCTGGAATAATGATGGCTATGATCGTGTTACAACGCTTAGACTCAATGACGTGGTTGTTGCGGCTAGGGGTGCACACGGTTTGGTTCGGTACGGTTCCTGTTAGAACCGGAATCGGAACTGATCTCAACAGTTCCTAAAAAATGGAACCAAAACCGTGGACAATGGAACCGAATCGGACCAAGGAACCGTTGACCAAGCTAACTTTTTCAATATTATTTTAATTTTCCTTAAAAAAATACAAATACAATAACAAAAATAAAAACACAAATAAACACAAAATATAAAAATATTATATCCCACAAATTCAGTTACTCCATTAGAATTACAAAAAAGAACACATTCAACAATCCAAATCATTCACTAATAGTTGATAACTTGATATGAAATCTAATACTAATAGTCCATTATGCAGCATCATCAGCAACAGCCTCCATTGTAGCTGCTCACAGCCTCACACAAAAAGCATATTCCCCACCTTTAAAAAAAAACAAGAGTTATAGAATGTGGTGAACTTGAAACTAAAAAAGTATAACCAGTAAAAGAACTACAAAAGAACTCACCAGTGACTCAGTGAGACATTCTGTTGCATCATGAATGGCTGCATGCTGCTTCCAAGTGCTAACCAGCTACTACATTCTCATCTACAAAAGGCAAAGACAACTTTTATAAATATTTCAATAAAAGCAAAATACTTTAAAACTAAATTTTATATAAAATTAATGGTACCAGATTCAATTGCTTCAATTTCAGCCATAGTTTCTTCCACTTGAATTGGGACTGGTGAAGAACGCAACCAATTTTGTCTGCAAATTAAGCATTCCACAAATTTGGGACTAAGAGAACTACGAAATCGATTAAGAACACAACCTCCCGTACTAAATGCGGACTTGAAAGCAACAGTAGAGACGGGAATGGCTAAAACAACCCTTGCAACTTCAGAAAAAACTTTATACCTCACACTATTCACCTTCCAACAATTCAAAATATCAAAGTTTGAACTATTCTTTTCACAAGATTCCTCTAAATATTTGTTCACTTCGGTTTTGTCTCTCTCATCACCTTCTTGTTCCATATGTTTTTCAAACCCTGATAGTGAGACCACATCATTTGCACCACCCAATGGGTCAATCGCCATAGTATTAGTCTCAACATTTACAATTTTAAATGAGGATGAATTAGCTAACTCAGCCTTTTCAAGCTCATCAAAAAGACGTTTCAGCATATCTACTATCCTTTTCATCAGCACATTTACCTTGGTTGGATCATGAATTTTGGAGAAACAAAACCTTAAATACATTAATTTACAACGAGGATCTAACACATTTGCAATGAATAGCATTACATTCAACTTTTCAATGTTTCCCTAATACTTATCAAACTTGATCTTCATTTTTTTAGCCATGGCACATATACAAGGATCCAAACTTTTGGACCATTCAACCAAGCTAGCTTCAATGCCACAAATTTCACTGAAGAACAAATTAGAAGTGACAGACAATGAACCAGATAAACGCACTGTGGCATCATAGAATTTTTGCAATATTTGAGTAAAAAAACGAGCATCATCCCAATCTTTAGCCATAGGAATTCTATCATTACTACTAAGTTCAAATTTGAATTTCTCTTCATATGCTAGCCTTTCAAATGTTTTTTGAAATTTAATTGCAGCCTCTAGCATTAGATATGTTGAGTTCCACCTAGTTGGAACATCTAGGCACAAAAAGCTTTTACTTGTTATCTTCTCCTTCTCTACCCATGTTTTGAAGCATTGTTCTCTTTGTGGAGAACTCCTAACATATTTTACTGCCCCACGAATTCGAATTATTGAATCTTTCAGTTCATTTAACCCATCTTTTACAACTAAATTAAGAATATGAGTACAACACCTAACACGAAAAAAATCACCACCCAACATGAAAGTTTCATTAACCTTAGAAATCGTGTTCTTCAAATATCCAACAGCAACATCATTTGAACTCGCATTATCAACAGTAATAGTACCTAATTTCTCAATACCCCATCCCATCAAACATTCTTCCACAGCTTGACCAATCGCCTCACCTTTGTGACTAGAAAGTGTACAAAAGCTTATTATTCTTTTATGTAATTTCCAATCACTATCAATAAAGCGAGTTATAAGGCACATGTAAGATAGGTTTTGTAGTGAGGTCCATCCATCTGTAGTGATGCAAATCCTTTGTTTTGGCTTCAATAACAAATTTCTCAAATTTTTTTTTTTTCACGTCAAGATATAATGCAAAACAATCCCTTGCCAAGGTAGTGCGTGACACAATTTTAAAATTAGGTTGCAATTCACTACAAAATAAACAAAAACCTTCATGGTCTACAAATTTGAAAGGCAACTCATCTATAATAATCATTTTAGCAAGAGCTAGCCTACATTTTTCTTGGTTAAAGCTCCAAACACCAAGGCTACTACTATCTTTTCGTGTCCCCGATTGAAATGACAAAAGCTTTTGTTTCTTGTCTTTATTGGAGAATTTGGGACAAACTTTAATAAGATGTTTTTTTAAAGCACTAGTCCCATTCTCACTTGACCACTTAAATATTGCTCCACAATAGTTACATGTGGCACCATTTGGCTTCCCATCTTTTATTTCTTTAGTAAAATGTTGTCACACAAGAGACCAACCCTTTTTTTGACCTTTTTTTTTTTGAAGTTGTTTTAAGTACCTTTTTAGAAGGTTGAGATGCCTGACCATCAGAATGCTCCCTAGCCTCCCCGGAGTCACTTGATAGAGACACTAATAATGTTGACATCTAAAATTATATAAATATATTAGAAAAAGGAAAAGGAAAATGAAAAAGATAATAGGAAAAAGAAAAAGAATAATAAAAAGATGATGAGGAAGCCAGTTGACACTTGAAAGTTGAAAGTCACTGAAACGAAAACACCAAAATCCATCATTTAATTCAATAAAAGCTATTTACATAGTGCATATGAAACGAAAAAAAAAAAAAGACAGTTTAATCATTAAGTTAAAAAAAAAATAAAAAATTTGACTAACATATCAATCACCTAGATGTAGAATTCACTTTTGGCACGAGTAGTTGCTTCATACCAAACTGAATTTATATAGCATTACTTTTGGCACGAGTAGTTGCTTCATACCCATAGCTCTTAAGTACTATTTTAGAATTACTTTTCTAAGGAATAAAAGTTGAATTAATTTTGCTATTAAAAGCTGGATGTACTTCTAAGAACAAATTTAACAACATTGTTCAGAACACTAAAAAATCCTTTAATCAGAACACTCAAAAATCAATGCACTTAAAAATCAATACACTTACGTGAATATGAACAATATAAAGCTAGCTATTTCCCAGAAATTAATAACAATGTGATTAAAGCCGCACTACTGAATTTGTTTGATTTTAATATTAAAGATGAGAAAAGTTGAGAGACTGACGAAATATGGACCGCATTATTTTCTTTGAAAAAAAAATGATGAGTTGACTTGGAAAATCAAAAAGTAGTGTGAAACTTTATTGGTTACTTTTTTTAAAGAGGCATTAATTTCATTCCAAGGAAAACAACAAAGAAATTTCTGCCTTGGGCAATGGCAGGGGCTAGGAAACCTCATCATAGTAACACTGAAATTTAGAAATTTTAGGGTTAAGTCTTTAGTCAGCTCGAGTTAGTGACCCCATATTTTTTTTGTCTTGCCCAACTAAAAAACACCACTTAAAAGGTAAATAAAACAACATTGTTATCGACGATCAAGAAATATAAAGAAAATCTGTCAGATCTGAAATACCTACCTATCAAACTGAGACCGGAAGCCGAAGATCTGTCAGATCTGAGAAGACAGAGACCGATCCGACCGATTCACTGAATCAGAGTCGAGTTGGTGCCGCGAGAGTTGCGAGTGTGATCTGAGAAGATCGTAGAGACTTCTGAGTTCTGAGAAGATAGAGAGTAGAGACCAGTTGAGACTTGAGATAATGAGAGGGCCTAGAGGCGCTGAGAGGAGAGGAGAGGAGAGGAGGGGTGGCGGAGCTCCATGGAGTGAGTTTGAGAGGTAAACTTAGCCACTTAGGTTTAGGTTTTGCCATTTTGATAAACAAAATTTCGGATTTTAATTTTTTATCCAATAATATCTGATAAATTGAATCAATGATAATCTGAAATCTGAAAAAACAATTGATTAATAAGTAGATCAACAAGCCCACACTCCACAGCCCACAGCAGCACAGCCCACAGCCCATATAGTAGCCCACAAGTAAATGAGTAATCAAGTATAATTATAATATATATATATATATATATATATATATATATATATATTATAATTATACTTGATTACTCATTTATATATATATATATATATATATATATCGGTTCGATTCGGTTCTAGAACTCAACCATGAGTTAGGAACCGAAACCGATTTAAATGGTTCCTTACTTTAGGAACCGGAACTGTGAGAACCGGAATTTTGGTTCCGGTTCCGGTTCAACGGATTGCCGATCTGAGAATGCACGACGGCGGGATCGGAATTTTTTTTTTTTTACATTGCGATTGGAGTAATTGCAATTGTAGTGGGAAGACGGGGTTTTGGATGGTGGTGAACATCTTGGTTCAAAGACAATTTCATTTTTTTGTTGGAAAGAGGTTTGTGGTGACATTATTGATGTTTGAAAGTTCTGATGGGAGGTGGTGGTGATTTTTGGTAGTGCTTGTAGTTAGGTAGAAATTGGGGTTCGGATGCAAACCTGAACTGATGGTGGGATTGGTAGTCTGGTAGATAAGAACTGCCGAACTGGGTATGCAGGTAAAAAAAATTAATAAAACAGGGTGGGCAGAAATCATAAATATCAAACTTGATTTTGTTATTTTGCTTTCAAAATCTTAATGAACATGAAATATTACTAAACATAATTTCACTTCCTATTTCAGTTTAAGAAATCAAAATCACGATTTTACTTTTGAAAGAAGTAAAAGTAAGAAAAGTAAAAGCTTAGTAAACGGTCCCTAAAAAAGCATGTGAAAGCTGATTAAAAGCTAAATGTAAGAATAATTAATTTCCCATTCATGCAAAATAAATTAATTTTTTATTTTCTATTTATTGAGAGTTGGGTTCCAGAGTTTGAACAGAACCCACGGTGCTGGTTAATATGTTCAAAATTGGAGCGCTTACTTTCAAACTAGTGTTCGTGTAATAAAGTAAGTTCAAAATAATTTTTTAACAATTTAAAATACACAATGGTTGTCGTATATAGAACACTAATTTTTCATTTGAGCCTTTGTTTTGCTCTAATAATATTAGGTTTGTCCCCTGATACTTTCAATGGAATTGTTGGTCCAAGACAAAAAGAATGGAATAATTAATTTCCTTTACACGCGAAATAGTAGTTATATTTTAAGTCATATAAAACGGGAGTGAAAATAAATTTGAGAGTGGGAGTATGAGAGCAACATAATTAAGTCATAAGTAGTGAGAATTTGAGCGACAGTACCCGCGAAGCGTGAAAGCAGGAGCGCGCTCGGAGCGTGAGAGCGACACCTGTTAAAAAGGATTGTGTAATTTAAGTTATATTGGCCGATAGAAACATGTGAATAGTGAAAACGATTAATTGTTAGAAGCTCAAATTAGCAAAACATACAAACCATAATATTTCCAAGCTCCATATAATCACACTGCAGATATCATTAAACTTTGGAATTCTGTATTCTGATTTTTGAGAAGATATTGGATGCGTCCGCCTCATTGATATACCCATGACAATACAACGATTTACAAAATTGGTCTCATCTATTTTTTTTGCAGAATTATTCTCAACT